TTATTATATATACGGCACTTGTGTACGCAGTTTATTTTCATGTCTTTTTATCAGTACATATTCTGTATTACTCATCGAATTCCTTGTATGTTTCATTCCAGTGGATCAATGTATCTGTTTTCGACTGATTCTCTGCTGTTATCTGTTCTAGAATAAAATTCTTTGTAAAATAAAAGCTCCCTGGGAACCAAACCCAGACAAATATCATATCTACCAGTCATCAGTATTGCCTGTGGTCTCCCTAAAGCTGATCTTGTCCATGCCTTATTTTGCACTACAACTCTGTGTGGAGGCAGGCATTTTAGAGTCAGGGTTTAGAATACTCATGTGAGAACCTCCAGCAAGAAAAACAGTAAATAGCACATTAGCGACCAAGTTCCCTCCATATCTCATGAGACTAGCACTTAGAGGCAGCAAGATATCATACTGTAGGTATAGACAAAAGTGCTTAGGGACTTTCACATACCGGGATATACACTGCTAATTTTCAAGAGGCATTTAAGACATAATAGAAAGTTTTCACGGTAGTTGTTAGACACAATTCGAATTTCCAAATGTTCCCTGTAACAAAGAAAATATTTACTTTTTGAGTTCAGTTTCACTTTAAGTATTATAAAGAGGTTAAGTAATAATTTTTAAGTTGGGTTACATTTTTTGGACTGAAGGGAACGGTGGGTTAAGTGTCAGAATAATGTAGAAGGCAAATTTTTTTGTGCTTGTGTTCATCAATAGAATTTCCATGGTAAGAACTGCCATGAAAGTTATTGGCAGAAAAACTAAAGTACCAATATTTCATTTCAAAGGATTGTGCACTTCATTGCCCTGAGCACTGAATTTTAAAATGAGGGAAAAAGTGGCAGCTAACGACAGAAGTTAATAAAAAATCATATGAGGTATTCCTCTACATTCTCCAGCTGTTCTAAAAGAGAAATATATTGTGTGTAAAATAAGGATGGCAAAAGATGTTCCATTTGATTGTGCTTTGTAACTTTCATTTTCAAATGGCTCTAAACCTCAGACATAAAATATGAAAAAGTATATCCCTCTATAATGTGTACTTGTCTCAAATAAGAGCACTAAGTGTAACTTCTGTCTGCTGCCTCTACAACCACAGCTCTGTTCCTGTGAACTATATGGGAGAGGGGCTGTCTCTTTCCTCCAATCAGTTCTCAGAACTCTCACTGAGCTCTGCAGAGTGTAACTTCAGATCTCTTCCCCTTTTTTTCTGGACTCTCAGAAGAGCTTTATAAATTCACCACTTTGAATGGGTGTAGAGAAGAGAATACTGCAGATAGAAAGGTACAACTTATGTAGGATGACTTTTTTAATTTGTATGTATCACCTGAGGCCAGTCACTTCACTGGATATATGTAAGGGTTTACAACCACTTTAAGAAACGCAACTAAAAAGTAATTGTTCAGTTTCCTAGAACACCTAAATAAAATGAGCTAGGAAGACCATCTAGTAGTCAACATTCTTATTAACCAAAGTATTTCTAAATAAAAGCAAGCACCAAACAGTATTTCAGGAAATTATGTTTTTCTAATTTTTAAGCACCAGGACTGGTAAAAATATGCTGATGAATGTGATGTCATTTGTAATATTAATGTATTATCTCTCAAAGTGAATGTTCGCATAAGTTACTATAATGCATATTTAATTTAGAATCATTGAAACTATTATTATATGTTCATTTTGTATCAACTGGCCATTAAAAGTGCTTCATTTGACATTTAATAATCATTTACTTTATAAATCTATTTGGCACATAGTTAACCTTCAAGTTAGATACTAATAATGTAGAGAAATTGATTTTTGTGAATACATATTAAAACTGTAGGGGGTGTTTGAAGATATCTAACATGATTTAACCAGTTCAATTTGTGCATGTGTCTTTGCTGTTATGACTTAAAACTGGTAAGTGATAACTGCTTTGTGTAAATATTTAACAAACACAGCATTTTAATATATTGCAGAATAAAAAATATGAAAGCATTCTTAATTAAACTAATTTGTAAAACCACTGTCAATTGTTTTTAAATTTATACTACTAATCATTTCAACACTAGAGTACTAAAAAGAAGAATATAAAAGTTATTTTATATAAAATGATATCATTGTCCAGTTACCTGAGCTTAACAATATTGTATTTACTGGTATGCCAATTTAACAAATATATATTAAATAGTTATGTATCACTTTTCAAGTGCTTTTCATAAAAATGAAATCAACACTCATTATTATCATCCTACTTAGTATATTTACATTTCTTTTTTCTCAGAGCATCATCTGACAACCATTGGAATTTAGGATATACAAAGATGCAAGTAATTGGTTATGTTATTGCTCGCATTCATTTATCCAGCATAGTCATCATAGATGTCAATGCCCTGACAAGCTTACTAGCCCAAGAGTTAAAGTTATATAAATTGGGAGCCTCATACTCTTGGTTTGGTTGATATTCACATTGATTTGTCACACTCCTGGATAATTTAAACTCAGCATATTAGAAAAAAATAAATAAGCAGAGGTTACCTTCAGTGAAAACCATATGTCGAAACCCGTACACTATTTGTTCATAGTTATATAGGCATCCCTCCATGCTAAACTGTATACAAAGACATTTTAGACAATTGTGCACTTCCAGCCTTGTGGCAAAAGCTAAGGGAGGGGCCTCTGTAAAAATAGAAAATTATATATAATCTCAGTTTATCTAAGAATCTACTCATTTTGATGTGAGGTCTCCAGCAGGGGCGGACTGACCATTTGGAAACTCGGGCACTGCCCGAGGGCCTGGGGTCAGTAGGGGGCCCCATGAGATGCCCCTGGTACCTATTTCATAGGCTTTTGTGAATTTGGGCAAGGACACAGGGGCCCCATGATGCCCTATTGCCCGGGGGCCCCATGAGTTGTCAGTCCTCCCCTGGTCTCCAGTGTACATTTTTTCAACATATACTCAGTTTGAATTGCCCAGGTTTGTTACATCTTTACTTTAATCGGTTGCCGCCTGGTTAATAGCAGAATGATGGCCGAGAGGGACTTTCATCTATCTGGGTGAGCGCCATGTGATGTCCTCCTGGATCGTCACCTCGCATGCACCTGCTGGCTGCGCTGCAGCGAGATTGGTCACTGGCTGTGTCCATCTGACACAGTCGATGACAAATCTGTGTACCAACCCATTCCAGTAATCAATGGATGATTTCCTTTCATGCCATCCATGGTATACAATTGTGTTGCCAGCTGTGGTTGATCACAGTGATCACATGATACATTTATAAATGTACCCATCTGTGTCATGTGATTAACTGTGGCCATTCACAGCTAAACACAACAAAAAAAACACGGCATTAATCAATTTCATTCAGTTAATTGCTTGCCTACTGTATAGCAGCAAAATTCACTCCTATCCTATCATAACGTAAAAAAAAAATACTAATCACTTCTACTTACTATGGTAACATTATATTACTCTGGTCACAGTGTTTTAAAAAAAATTGTAAAGAAAAAAGAAAAAAGTTAAAAATGTAAAAAAATTTTAAAAAGTATTCATTTTTTTCATACTGTCACCAGTCAGTGTTCCTGATCACCACCACACCAGTTATATGATGATACTTTACTGCACTGGTGACAGTATGTTAAAAAAATGGTGAAAAGCATTTTTTTAATTTCTTTATTTTCCAAAAAATTATGACAAAACATTACAAATTCAAAAAACTTGTCAAGCCTCTTACTAAAAACTGAAGACTGCCTATTTGATCGAATTTCAGATATATACCATAGTTTGTGTACTCTGTAACTTTCCTACAGACTAAATAATACACACTAATCTGGGTTATTTTCTTGAAAGAAATGTAGCAGTATACATTTTGGCCTAAATTTATAAAGAAGTTATTTATTTGCAAAATTTTATAACATAAACAAAGAAAGACTTGTTTTTTTTTAATTTTTGGTCTTTTTTAGTTTATTTAACAAGAAATAAAAAACCCAGGAGTGATTAAATACCACCAAAAGAAAGCTCTAGTTGTGTGAACAAAATGATAAAATTTAGTTTGGGTACAGCATTGCATGACTGCACAATTGTCATTCAAACTGTGAAAGCGCTGAAAGCTGAAATTTGGCCTAGACAGGAAATGGGTAAAAGTGGCAGGTATTGAAGTGGTTAAGTGCTTTGGATAACATTTTTTTTATCATTATGTTAACTTACAGACTGGATGCATATATAATTAAATCCTTGTGTTTAGCATTTTGAACATGTATAGTATGCAGTAAATTAACAATTTGTTTATGTTGTGAATCTGTCAAACACATTTTAGCCAACTCTGTCAGGATCTTGATTTACTCTCTTTTCCAAACAGCCACTCCTTCTGCAAACATCGCTCATGCTTTATACTTACTAATTTTATGGCCATTTTGTGACTTTCTATAAGCTTTTATGCTAGACAATCTTCCATCCATGGATTAATTTGTCATGCATTACACAAACAGGTCTCTAGCAGGTGGGACAGTGTTTTTGAAGGCAGAGAGAGAAGGTCTGGGTAGATGAATGATACATCTTTGGGGGGAGGAGAAATGCATTAGTGATTTTTGTGGAATAAGGAAGAAAATAATTATCTGTGAGCAGTGGTTGCAGGAGGAATTCATTTTTTGAGTTTGCAGGAGGAGGGAGGGATATCTAGCGAAGGCATTTCCCAAAATGAACACTGTACATGTGTGTAAGATTTTACTTTAATTGTAGGCAAAAATGTATGATATTAACTAGTTGCCGACCGCAGATAGCCGAATGACGGCTTCACTGCGGCCGGCCAGTTCTGGGTGGACGTCATATGACGTCCCCCCAGAACGCGCTCTCCTGCGCGCCCCAGGGGGGGCGCGCACCCGGCGATCTCTGTGATCGCTGTGTCCTACGGACACAGCTGATCACGAGATGTGGTAAAAGGCCAATCATACCGGCCTTTTACCACGTGATCAGCGGTGTCCAATGACACGCTGATCACAGGGAAATGCAAGTGCCGGTTCTCGGCTGCACTTTCCTCACGCTGTCAGATCGTGAGGAAAGTACTGCCGAGAACCGGCAGTTGTCAGAGCGAGGATCGGCACCGATCATCAGGGCACTGATGATCAGTGCCCTGATGATCGGTGCCCAGCAGTGCCACCCACAAGTTCCGCCCAACTGTGCCCAGCAGTGCGCCCACTAGCTCCACCCACCTGTGCCCAGCAGTGCACCCACCTGTGCCCAGCAGTGCACCCACCTGTGTGCCACTCTGCAGTGTCACACACCTGTGCCCAGAAGTGCCACCTACCTGTGCCCAGCAGTGCCACCCACCTGTGCCCACCCACCTGTGCCCACCAGTGCCACCCACCTGTGCCCACCCACCAGTGCTGCCCACCAGTGTCACCCACCAGTGCTGCCCACCAGTGCCGCCAGTCAGTGCCCAGCGGTTGTGCCAGTCAGTGCCGCCAGTCAGTGCCCAGCAGTGATGCCAGTCAGTGCCATCTATCAGTACCCATCATCAGTGTCACCTATTAGTGCCACCTATCAGTGCTGCATATTAGTGCCGCCTATCCGTGACACCTCATTAGTGCTGCCTATCAGTGCCGCCTATCCGTGCCACCTCATTAGTACTGCCTATCAGTGCCCTTTAGTGCTGCCTATCAGTGCCCATCAGTGCCGCCTATCAGTGCCCATCAGTGCTGCCTCATCAATGCACATCAGTGAAGGAGAAAAATTACCTGTTTGAAAAATTTTATAATAGAAACAAAGAAACTTTTTTTTTTTTCAAATTTTTTGCACTCTTTTAATTTATAGCGCAAAAAGTAAAGCGCCCAGTGGCTATTAAATACCACCAAAAGAAAGCTCTATTTGTGAGAAAAAAATGATCAAAATTTCATATGGGTACAATGTTGCATGACCGCGCAATTGTCAATCAAAGTGCGGCAGCGCTGAAACCTGAAAATTGGCCTGGTAAGGAAGGGGGTATAAGTGCCTGGTAGGCAAGTGGTTAATACTCTTTACACTGGAGTTGAAGTATAACAAATTGGCAATTCAATATACATACTCTGTTAAAGAAATAAAACTATGAAGTCAGCTAGAAAGCCTTCCTGGTTACCTATTAAAATATTTAAAGTTCTGACATATTGCTGCCTCTTGACCTCATTATTGGACATATTATATGCTCAGATTTCTGGAAATATAATCAGAAGAGTTTTAAACTCTGTGTATACTATTGATCACTGTAGTACATGACATCATAACACCATATATCTGATGACACCTTCAAGAATGTATTAGTCTAAACAGTGAAAGGAATTACAGATTCCAAATATAAGATCTAAAGCCAAGCCATTTTTTTTAATAGAGCAGGGAAGGTTTTTATTGCTGTCTGTGCCCCCCACTGAGAAGAGTCTCCATCTTTCCATTTGGCCTACTGGCAATTGTTACTGTGACTTACAGCAATCCACAATATTAACCTTTTCCCGTCCAGCTGGACGGGAGCGCTGCCGATGCAAGGGGATGTTTCTAAACATCCCCCTGCATCCATTGCCTGTGCGCGCTCCCTGGGAGGTGGCTCTGCGATGAACACAGATCACTGTACGGGACCTCTGTGTGAGGTCCCGATTCATGTGATCACTGATTGGCCAATCAGTGATCACATGAACAGTAGAAAACAAGATGTCACTGCCTGACATCATTGTTTACTACTTGTGAAATCTGTGAATGATCACAGAGGTCACATGGCTCAAGGCTTTTCACAACAGCCTTGTACCATGTGACAAGCTGTGACCAATCACAACTCTCACAGTATTTATCTTTGGCTGCAGGAATGCAGCCAGAGAGAAAGAGAAATGATTGCTTTTACAGCCTTTATGGGTGTAAAAGCAATCAGTGTAAAAAAAAATCTTTATCTTTTACTATGGTGACATTGTACTGCTAGGGTGACTAGGGTGCTAAAGTGACAGTATGTAAAAAATAAATAAATACATAAATAATAATATTTAAAAAATGAAATAAAAATGTAAAAAAAAATAGCTGAATACATTTTGAATTATATTAGTAGTGAAAGTCCATCATGATAATAGACAACAAAAGTTCAGAAAATTCGTGCAAAAAGATCAAAAATTCTTCTAATGAAAAGAAAAACTTCCACCTTCCACCCGTGCAAACCAACATCAAATGCACTCACCAGATATAGGTGAATGAAACGCCTTTTAGGAATTTTTATGGGATCCTAAACCCTCTTTCGTGTCCACTCTATAGGAATCCTCACCTTCAGTATAGGCTCCACCATACAACCGGGGAGAGAAAATCTCAGATAGTGTGATATTGCAAACTACCGTTTTTAAATAAAATCAAGGATTAAGGCCACTCACATTTAAATCACTTTAAAAAGGCATATTTATTAGGACAAGCTTCTTCCAGATGGACAATGAATGTCAGACAACCTCCTCAGGAATCTCACATCACAGCTCCAGGATACAGCAGAAGCTCCACAGAGATCAAACATGCACAGATCCCAAAAGATGGCCGCTGGAACGCACCGCTCAGCGTGCGCTCCACTCACCGGAAGTGACGTCAGACGTACGGGGTAAAGACCGGAAATGCGTCAACGCGTTTCGCCCCTCCCATCAGGTGTTCTCATGGTCTTGAGAACGCCCGATGGGAGGGGCGAAACGCGTTGACGCATTTGATTTAATTCCTACAATAAACCTTGGATAATGCACTAGGTGTGTGCGCCACCTGTTTTTCTCTCTATCCAAGTGGCTGATTTCCCCGTCTGAGGAGGGCTGCACCCCTGGAACATTTCCTTTTGGTTGTCGCTGTCCTGGTACCCTTGGCTTCCCTTTTGGCTGTGCATATCCTGAGGCGCTGGAGAGTACATACGATGTTCAGTCTTGTGTTTGTATGGTATGGATCCATTCTCCCAAATCTGTTTAGTTATTTCCAGCAAACCATAGGGACTTCCCTGATGGCAAACAAATATTGCAACTGGAAATCCCAATATCTCTCATCTTCATCTACCATTTCGTCAGCATGCTTTTCAGAGCTTTGTTAAATCATACCTACCCAACCCATCTGTCTATGGGTGGCACAACGCAGTGTGAAAATATCTAGAGGCACACAATTCTTTCATGACCTTTGACATAAAGGATCCCTCAGGATCTCCTTTGGGAGCCCTCTGTGAATACAAATGTGGTAAACTCCAAGGAGATGGTATTTCTTAAAGGAACAGTCTTGGGATAACTGGTCGCATAATCTATCAATCTATTACGACAAAGATGTACTGGTGTCCCCTAGTCAACCACTGGACCTTCCAGGTCTGTTGCCATTTGCTCAAAAGAGACCTCATCCAGGGCATTTGGGCTGGGATCTGACATTGTAGAGAAGACACAAGCTGGCCATAGATTGGTTATATTTTTTCTTTCAGCCAGTAGACTAACAGATTCCTTTGCCCATACAAGCATGGTGGATGAAGGAATCCAAAGTACAAAAGCCAATGTGAAAACATGTGGCAGGAGAGAAATGCAGATCAAACTCCAGATATTATATATTCAATAATACAATGTCATGAAAAACAAAGTAAACTCATTGTGGTATTCAGTGATCACTTAGCTGTCTGCAATACAATGCAAATAGTTTTTTTGAGTAACCATATAGGATAAGACAACCAAATCAAGTATCCTCTACACCTCTTCATTAAAGGCTCAGATATGGAGAGGTTATAAAGTGAAACCAACAAATATTAATCTTTTCTCATCCGTGGCCTCCTCCATTCAAGAAAAAAGAGTAGCAGGACCACATCCCTAGCTGAGAAGGCCACTTATAGTGTGCTCCATGCCTGCCATGTGAGCAAATAACTTTTTTTTATTGCACACCACATGACATTTGTCAGCCTAAGTCCCATTTAGGACATCAAAAAAAAGATGACAAACACAGATAAAGAAAATTCAGGAAAGAAATAAAAAAAGAAAATATGGAATGGGAGATAAAAAGAAAATATGGATTGAGAGATAAAAAGTAAAGGAAAGAAGTACACCCTCTAAGGTCAAAATGTGTCACTCTGTCAATCTCAAGAGGAATCTGAAAGGTATCTTAACCAGGGATCCCAGATTTTCTCAAAGAAGGCCAACTTGTTGTGTATAATTGCTAATAGGCATTGATTTAACAGAATCCATATCAACTTGGCCTTCAACAGATCAAATGAGATCATGAGGATTTCCAAAATCTTGCAACTGAGATTCTGGCTGCTGTAAAAATTAAAAGCAATCATTGGTATCCCCTCCACCAGTCATCCCAGAAGGATCTATTATAGATTTTTAATGAGCTTCACCTGGGTAAGGGAGTAAATAAAATTATATGTGTGATTCCAAAACCACTTCACCACCATGTGTGGAGTACTGTACCTTCCTGTCAACAGGTGACTGGTGTGTTTTTCAACATTCTTGCATAAATACTCTATTGGAATGGAGATAATAAAGTTGCTAGTATGTTTTAAGGCAGCTAGAAAATGTGCTATTCGAGAGTATCAGTGCAAGTCCATTGCTGGAAGCTGATGTTTCTCTAGTAGGAATCGTTTTGACAAAACACCTCTGTGATCGCACAAATATGCAATGAGAAGGAAGCACTTACTCGTCCACCAAACAAAAGTGCGAGGGTTCAGACCTGGGGTGAAAACTGGGTTACCCAACAATGAGGCCAGAGGAGTATGAGGGGACATGCTTGATTGCCAGCCTATCCCATAAGCTGAGAGTAAGTGATAATGTTGGGCAAAGTATAGTCAGTCAGTCTCTCTTTGGCTCTGAGCCACATCAAGCTGCTAATCACCTTGTTGGGAAGAAGGGATTATTCTAATTACATCCACAGTGGATGAAAATTCTGGGAATGATAGAGAATCAACTGAGCCAACTGTGCAGCATAAAAATACATGAAAAAGTCAAGAACTACTAAGCCACCCTTCAATTTAGGTATTTATAGAGTGTGTCTATTTACCCTGGGTCTCTTGTCACCCCAAACAAATGTTAGCAATTTTCGTTGGAAGAGTTTTAAGTATAAAATATTAATTGAGACTTAGAGGGTTCTCAACAAATATAAAATCCTGGCAAAATGTTCATTTTGATTGTGTGCAGCCTAATCACCAGGAGGGGGGGATTGGAGGCCCACCTATCAAGCTCCTCTGACAATTCACTTTTTGGCACAAGTAGAAAAATTGTATGGGACCTGGCTTTTCCACTTTTCTAAAAGGGTTATCACATCAACTAACATAATTATTACACAAGCCTGCCCCTTTTCCGACACCTGTACCTTGAGAAAACATTGGCCTGTGGTACCACCCGAACAAACAGGAAGGGCTTCCACAAAATCTAGTGAACAAAAG